AACAAGTACGTGTCATACTAGTCTCCAGGGCCACATGCTTTTACTCATCACTTTTCTCCTGCCACGTGACTAAAAGAGACTTTTGCCCCGAGAACGATAACGTATGAGTTTAATCTACCTAAGGCACCAACCAGATGATTTATTCTTATTGTTCAGCGAGTAATTTGCCACCAGTACATGTCAAATAAATAGTTCATAATCAGGTAAATAATATAACCCAATTCCTTGCCAAGATATAGTGAGCTTCTGTTCATCTGTTCCCCTTTCGCATTATATTTGATATGTTTCAGATTCGATTTCATTAATTCCCATCCGCCATGCTCTGATCGCTCACAAAGAATGTTTCATTATCATAAACTGTAAGCATGTGTGGTCCCATCCACCAGTGATGGACGGAATCGTAATACGCAAAGATATCTATCCATCAGTCGTAAGAAGAGACAACTGAACTCAAAAATTTCCCGAAATTTTTTTCGCGTTGTTTTTACGGATTTTTCTCTTTCCAAATAGTGGACTTATTAAATCACTACTGGGGCGACAGGCTAGAAAATCAATTTATTCACTCGAGTTCGTCCGTTAAATCATCCATGCCTGGAAACTCAGTCATTAAGGACCAGTTAGATATAAACAAGATTTGCAAATGCCGTACCTTTGTATTCAGTCTAGCCAGGAATGATGATTTTCTTCACTGGTCATATCGTTTCCTTAATCTTGAACACAACCCGTGGGTTTGGCGCGTGGTTATAGCTGGTTAGAGTCCCACCCCTCCCCGCTAAGAACATAAAACTACCTGTCCTATGACCTGCAAATAGATTTACCTGACTGAATTTACGATTGGCTTCTTCGCGTTTGGTTCAAACAGTGTGCTTTAGGATTATTTACTAAATCATGGATATATGATATATCCTGATGAAGACTAGAAGTATTGCAGTCGAAACGTCGCGATCAACATCAAAAGTGACTCTATCGTGAGACAAACGAACAAAGTTCATCTCCTATTACATAGACATATGTTCTATAGTTAACATGCTGATGTTTAACCAAAAAAAAAATGACCAGCTCCCAGTTAGCTTACCCCGGTATTGCAGAGGTCATGAGTTCAACTCCCGTTCAAGCCTGAATTTTTTTCAGGCTTTGTTTTTACTGCTCAAGTAGTGTTCATAGCTGCGATGATCACTCTTGTCATATTTTCAAAGTAGTTTAAATATACCATGAAACGAAAAAAATGTACCAACACGCTTGCTAGCGTACCGGTCAACCGCAAAATCAAATGACACTCTCTTGTCAGCCAGAGGGCCATATGTCTGTTTCCTTTTTGGGCAAAATTTAACAACATCTGCTTCCTTGTAGTCTCAGAGCTCACGCAAGCCAAACTTTCGTGGCGATTTTCAATCATTTCGAGAAATGAATATCGTGAAACAGAAATCAGATGACTCTTTAAAATACACACGTAGATGAAAATTGATTTAATTCGGAGCATTTGATTGTCCTGGAAAATGTACTTATTTGTTTACAATTAAAAGGCAGGTTCGTTCAGTTAAAGTTAGTTTTGCTCGTAAAAGACTGGGAAGAGAATTAGTTTAACTCGAACCAGTCTCCACGCAAACGAAATTACTTTACATTTTGACGCCTGGACGCTATTGCTTTAGAGTCAACTCAAATATGAGAGTTATATCGGCTTTATGGGTAACGTATCAGAGATATCTCACCACACATCCATGGAAAACTCAAACTCTGACTACTGGTGAGGTTAACCAAATTTATGTTTACACCCTTTTTACAACGACAGAATGTCTGCTTGGTCTAACTGAAGGGTCAAACCTTCGTCCGGTATTCGACTGTTTGACTGTTCGATATATCATTTAGAAATTTTTAAGCGTTTCTCGGTATACCCTTTAGAAATTGTTGGTGCTTTAGACTTCGAGTTGAGAGGTTCGGGTTCGGGACTTGGCCCGGGTCATTGCGCCTTGTTCGTTAGTTTCACAGTGCCTAGAGTCTCCACTCAGGAGTATAAATGAGTCCACCGGTGAATTGTCAGGGAATTGTAACTTTCGAAGATTTCATCGTTCAAATTCCTGTCCAACGAGGCCAAAATTGTGTTCAACTGCTCCAGCCAAGTGCCAGATTTTATCGTCATTTTTTATGTCTAAGGCAAGATTATAGCCACCGTGATTTTCTTGGAGACCTTTCTCTCTCTGAGCCATTTGTTAGTGAGAGTGAACTTTTTATCTTTAATATTAAAAGATATATCACGTTTATTCTGCTGGAAAGACTTGAGTTCCAGTTCAAATTCCCCACCCCCCAAGTGGGGAAGTAATATTGAGGCCTTGAATTTTTTGATGCATAACCCCCAAATCTGTGTGGAGATTATACAGTGAGTTTATATTTGACATGTTTTGTGCACTTTGAGGATCAGCAATTTTGATGAACCCCCTGAATAAGTGAAGCATGCAAATATTGTACCTGAGCTGGTGGAAAACCTCACAGAATCTTTAAAGATCTTTAAGGATTGTCAAAGACCTGTCAAAGATCTTTAAAAGCAACGCTTTTTAATAAACAAAAGATTTTTTTTCTTGCATTGAACTCAGGCTATTAATTAATGCAAGGTATACAGATCTATATCTAACCAATCTCACCTCTTCTTGATAAATCATTCAGTTTTTTTGCTTTTGCAATGTTCTCATTTCAGCTGTGATGTTTAGTACAAGTGACATCTTGACTCAACAAATTATCGAAAAAAAGGGATTGCATCACGATTTTAGAAGAACACTTCGCATGTACATAATGGGAGTCATTATTGGGCCTATTCAAAGGACATGGTTTTTAACACTTGAGCACCTTCTACCACCTACATCCAAGATGCAAATTCTCAAGAAACTTATAGTAGACCAAACAATTTATGGTCCTTTTATAATATTTTTCTTCTATAGCTTATCAGGGACACTGTCTGGGAAAGATATTAGTGAGATCAAGGAAGTTATTGAAGAGAAGTACCTTAGAACTTTGATCACAGGTTACAAAGTGTGGCCATTTGTACAAGCAATTAATTTTACTCTTGTCCCTGTTCAATTGCGAGCTAATTTTGTTCAAGGGGTGTCTCTTGGTTGGAATATGTACTTATCCTGGATGGTAAACAAACCTGTGAACAGCTTAACCCTCACTCATGACAGTCTAGGGGAAAAGAACCCAGACTTTTCTGTGGACTCTGATATATGAAAAGCTGTGTAGATTACAAACTTATTGCATCGTTGCAGTTTAAATACTTTAAATATTACACATATTTATTTAGTTTTCTAATAGATTTGTGTAGCAATGGTATCATCAATGCCTTAATCCTCGGTGCTGAGGTGTAGGTTTAAAATTTTGGTAAATCTAACTGGAAAATATGCAGACTTCATGTGAAATTAAATTAAATGCAACCGTAACCCTAACTCATGACAGCCATGGGGAAATGAACCCAGACTTTTCTGTGGAATCTGATATAAGAAAAGCTGTGTAGAGTACAAACTTATTGCATCATTGTATTTTAAATACTTTACTAAAAACTTGTATAAGTTTCTTATAGATTGGTGTAGCAGTAGCATCATCAATGTCTTAATCCTCAGGGTGGAGGTGTAGGTGTAGGTGTAGGTGTAGGTTCAAAATTGATATTTATCTAAATGAAAAATATGCAGACTGCATGTAAAATGAATGTAATTTGCAATAATATTTCAAGGCTGACATGCCTGTTGTATGTTTAATTTGACGATCAACTTCAATAACATATTTTTCTTAGTCACTCCACAGTATAGCAACAATGCTTGGTATTTATATCATCAGTAGTTTGAACAACCCAATATTCCTTTACTTTTGTATTTAGGATATAAGTTACATAAGTTGTGTGATGATGATGAGTGATGAGATAAGAAAAGAAACATCAAATACTTAACCCATAATAACTTACCAGTACAGCTGGTTGGGGTGTGAATGCATTTAATTTTTTT